GAAGCCACTTCAGAACTTACTAGCTATTTGTTATGCCAGAGTGCAGGTAACAACTAGGATGCATGACACCTCATAAAGCCTCCTATTGCCAGAATTTTTTGTCATGGAATCCCAACTGATAAGTGCTAGCAAAATATTAATTTGTAGTGTTGTACATTATTGCTTCATTACCATAATACTCCAAAGGATAATTTTTAACCTAAAAATTTCCTCGGGTTTCCATTTGTGTGTGTGTGTGTTGATGTGTTAAGATTCCAAAATGACCATTTTCTATAAAAATTTCTGAAGGTGGCTTCCAAGGCCGGGAAGGACTGACGGGGAACTACAACCTTAGTAGGTGTCAACTTGTAGTATATTATTGATGAATTCCTCGTCAAATAATCACAGTTGATTTGGTGTGTTGATGATGGAGATACTGCCTCACTGACTGTATGAAAGTATTACTATGAGAACGTATTGAACGGTAGGTTAACCTAATAGAACCGTTAGAACGTTTGTTTACATTTCATATTTTAAGCTTTGCTTTCACTGTTATATCATAGGAATTCAGTTTTGTCGCCTTACGTGATATGTCAGGTATGCGTGTCATAATTAGCTGAGTACAATATAATGTAGTTGACACCACGGGAACACTTAGGGTCGTACGCGGAGCGCATTGCGGACACTCATCACAACGTCCAGGGGGTGGGTTGGGGAGGGTCACAGGGGGTCGTCAGGGGCAGCAGCACTTGGAGCACTCTTACCCTCTCTAAACACGTTTTTATCTTTTCCCATTCATATAGAGTCCTCCACAATAACGGAGGGTAATTACGCAGGACATATTATATTTAGGCATATCAGAAATATTCAAAGTGGTCTCCGGGTCTGCATGGTGTTTGTATTTTTGTTTGTGACCGTGCATGCGGTAACAGACAAAGATATGATGAATATCATCCATGCCCACAGCAATACTCGAGCTACAACAACAAACACCTACTAAATCTGCAAGAAAATTTGATCCTCACAAACGGATATCATATATCCACTTTGTAATTTAAATGCCCATACAATTTGTACCTTTAATTCTTAATCCTACGATTTGTTTACAATTTTCAGTTGTCATGCCCCCACTGTACAACTGGGCAGCTTATAACTCTCCTCAAGTCTTGTAGCCCGTCTTCCAGTTTATCAATATAATAAAGCTAAGACTTTTTAGTATACTAAAGAATTTTGTGTAAGTTTATGACAAGGGAATTATTAAATGTCGGTACATAAGTAAATTATCTCTTGTGTTACAAATTTTTTTGTACCTCTAGATGTTAATTGACTACAACAGCCAAGACAATACATCTATATTTACTCAAAACTTACGAGTAAGTTTGTATCAGGAGTTTAATATTTGACTATTTGTGGCACCACAAGAAAATATTTTCAACTTTTTTTTGTGATCTGGAGTTGGACTTGTCAACATTACGTACATGATTGTGAGGAAAATAAGCGGAGGCCAAGCTGGTGCAGGGAGGACACGCGTGTTTCACAAACACAGTTTATAGCTCCTCTTGATGGATGGTTAGTGCATGCAACCGCAATAACATTTTTGCTAAATGTATTCTTGGAATGTTGCAGTTTTAAATCTCACTAATAATGTTGCAGCAGTGTTCCAGTCATCACTTAACTACTAACACCGCTGCTAATAAATCCCAAATCACCATTGTTTAGTTTTCTGTTTTCTGGTTTGTTAAATAATGATTATGTGTAAGTATCACTGTTGTTGTGAAGGTCAGTGCAACAAGTGTCCTGCCACCACTGACGGACACAGTCCTGGTGCTGGTGCACTGAGAGCGATTTTACGTTATTGCTTTGAGTTCAATCCCAATCCAGTAAGTACACTAATCCAAAGGATACACTTATAATCCATTTTCACATGTAAAACAATTGCAACACCTTCAAATATCGTCAACATGAATGATTCAGACACAGTAGCTAACAAGTGTTACCTAGAAACATTGGCACATAAGGTTCACATCGAGCTTTCCACTCTCCCTTTGTACATAATGATAAAGAAAATGACAGGCTGCCGATAACCCCACATAAGAATTCACTTGCCATAGTTCAATTCTCTAAGAATATACACAACTCACAGTTGAGAAAACTAGTAAAAGAAAATTAGAAAAATCGTAACAGCAAAATATATATTTCATTCCCTTCACTACAACCTTTGGTTCAAGCAACGGTCCCAGGGTCCTGTGAAACATGACCACCTGACAGAAGGCTAAGCCTCCTCGCGCCGTGTCTTGGCACGAAATTGAAAAATAAGAATGATGCAGTGGGTGCCATTTTAGGAGGTGGGTGCCAGCCACGAGGGCCACTGTGGATTCGGGGAGGCATACCCCACACGACACAGTCATCACCCCGCCCGCCTCTTGAGTGACTCAGCTCGACGCCTGGCTTTGCTTTGGGGCACAAACATGGCCTATGCAATTGCCAGGCTTCGTTACACATTGCATATATATTGCATTTGCATATGTTATGGTTGAGTGCATAGGAGGAGTGTGTCGGCAATTCATTTATCCACTGCTCAGTGGCCATCCAGGCTAAGGTCATGCCTCTCAGATCACTAGAAAGAACTCCATAAAACAGCACTCCCTGAGTTGGAAGAGGCAATCATGTATACACGATTAAAGTTGAGGGTCACAACTGAGACAAGAAGGTATTTGAGAAATGAGGGAAAAAAGTGACCCTAGACACAATACATGAGGAAATTGCAGGTCCTCCTACAGACACAACATCACTCTGGTTCATTCAGAGGCCGTAAAAAGACAACCATCATCTCACACTGGGCAGCCCCTCACGTTGAAGGAAGACCGCCACACATAGGACAGCCTCACACAATGAAGGAGGAAAGGACAGAACAGGGAAGACTATGTGGGTCACTGAGGAGGAGGAAGATGAACCACAAATACAAGAGAGTATTTACCCATAGGATATAAAAAAGCACAACTCTTTATCAGGAGTTAAATTTATATCACGGTCGTTAAAACCTTTGAGTAATCAGTATTGGTTGGTTTGAGCTTATAAATTATGAAACGGGATTATTTAAACTGGAAATGCCCACAATGAACGACAGTACCTAAAAATAATTGAGTAAAAATCGCCATTAGAATGTGTGGCCTTCAGTGAGGTATACCCCAGTCGTTGTAACACATATAAAGAAGGATCATGAACAATCCCGGTACTGGTTGCACACCTGGTGGGTTAAGAAGGCCCATCATCGTTGGTACAGTACTAGGAACAGTGGGCAAAGAGGGTAGGTGCAGCACTATCAGGGTTATCGAAGGGAGCCAGAGAGTCTTGCCAACTCTCAGGTGAATGTGAGGGTGAAGGTGTGAGCCGAGGTCAGTAGTACTGGTAATGGTATGTCGGGGTGGGAGGAATGGTTATGATGACGAGGGTATGGGGAGGAAGGGTACTGTGAGTAGGGAGAGGATCTATCCTTGCTACTCTGAGGGGTTGGGGTGAGCGGGGGCCCTGGGGTACTGGGTTGAAGGGGCACAGCACCCCCTGTAACAAACACCTCCCCATGGGTGTGGGTGGTGAAGGATGGTGACAACTCAGGTCTTGGTATTGGAGACATTTGTCGCGAGGTAAATAATGGTGAGTGAGATGAAGGAGCCACGATGCGGCTAATGGGAGGTAGTGGGGGGTTAGCTGGGGAGAGTGGGGGCTGCACATCCCTCCTCGCTCCACCATACCTAAGTTCACAAGAGGTGACATTTGTCCATGTGGAGAAAGTTGGGAGTATGGTGGGAGCTGAGTGTGGGGGGACAGTTGGTTATGAGGGGAGAGTTGGTTGTGCGGTGACAACTGATTGTGTGGCGATAACTGATTATTAGGCGACAGCTGGTTGTGCGGAGAGAGCTGAGAATGTGGGGACATTCCACGGTTTGCAGGGTGGTTGTGAATGGGAGAATTTAATCTATGCAAATCAGGGTCATGTCGGGGAAGGGTTAGGTCAAGGGAGTGACGGTCATCTGGGTGGGAGTCGGCTACATACACAGTTGTGCAGACAGACCCTGGTCTGAGTGCCTCACTCGTGTAGGTCAGTGTGCGGCCTGTTACACTGAGATCCACTGAATGTGAGGGTACTCGTTCTAGTTCATAGAGCTGTGCACGACCGGACTGGTGGCCAACTTCACCGTGATATCGTTGCTGGAGACTCGCAAGATCAGCCGGTCGAAGGAAGAGGTTCGCTCGTGTCATATCAACACACTGGTCCAGGGGTACAGGTGAGCGTAGGCCATCAGTGGTTACTAGATATGAACGAAGAGCATCAGGTGTTGGGCTGGGAGAAAGATAAGGTGACCTTGGAGGTTCTGGGGAACGTAGTGCAGGAAGTCTCCGGAAGTCATGAGGTTGCAGCTCCGGCAGTGGTAGTTGGTCTGCCAGGTGGTCATTACGAGGTGACAGATGCCCACTCTCACCCATGGGGTCCAGCCCCATTGAAGCCTCAGAGTCGTCCAGCTGGCCTGGCAGGCAGTGTTCTTGACTCACAGGCGTCAACTCCGCATGACGGTAGTGTTTGTAACTCATATCCAGACCCACAGATAGTGAGGACGATAACGACACTGGCAGCCCCTGAGACACCGGCAACTGGTCCAGCACTTGCAGCGTCGGCTCCAGCCCACCGCTGGAACTGAGCGGCGTAGGCGGGGCCATGGGTGTGCCGGGGTCTACCGGCGTGGCAGGGGTTGGTGGTGGGAGGTCATCTGACTTAACTAAAGTGAGATTGTGGCGTGTGGTCCGAGTGTTGGTGGTGATGGTGGTGAAGATCATCACCGACAGAGGTGGGTGGCAAGTGGTCCAGGGCAGCATGCAGATTGTCTTGCAAGTCGTGGCTCAGTTGTTCGCTCAGTTCACGGCTGCCTATCGTTTCATGTACCACCATCACCTCCGGCAGGTCTCGTGGGTCATACTCCCGTTCTAAGGTGTATTCCAGGTGTGCTCGCTCGTCGTCAGCAGCGCTAGTGTATTTTATGTGTGTTGAAGGCTGCGTCGTGTGGTAGTATGTGCTCCATGGATGTGACGACTGTGTTGGGAGGTAAGGGAGAGTAGCGGCCACTGTACCCCAGCAGACGGTCATGGCTGCCCACACCACGCCCGTCCATCTTCATGGTCTGCTCCGCCACGTTCAGCGCCGCCTCCACCAGAAGCGAAGCATTAGACTCTCGTCGGTATAGTTTTTCCTCCCCAGTGATTTCTTCTTCTTTCTTTCTTTTCTGCATCAGCTCTTCCTCTAAGCGGTCATCGAAGTCATAAACATCGCGAGCATCATCAGGATCATAATCTCGGTCTTGCATATCTAACGGGTCGCCAAGCCACTTGCGTGATCCTTTACTGACCAGACGAGTCGCTGTCGCTGCGTATTTAGTAACGTATCCGTGTAAGGTAGCTGCAGGCGGTAAGCTAGCTGCTGCAGCAGCAAGTAGAATATCTGCTCTCGAGGTTGGTGGTCCTTCATTTGAGGTGAGGGAGGAGAGGGGAGGGTCGGCGCTGTGTGAGGAGTCGTCTGGGGTAGGAGGCTCGGCCGGGGTGGTGTCTGGGGTAGGTTGCTGACCCAGGGAATCTGAATTCTGGTTGGGCAGAGAAGGCACCTTTCCCCGGCCCGGGTCATTCACCATCCCACCAGAGTACGAGTCGAAAGTGTATGGGATGCAGCGAGCATGCTATCCCCCGTGTAGCCGTGCACCTTCTTGTAGTGGAACTGTAAACATTGTTTGGTCGTGAAGGCCGCATTACAGCTCGTCTCTATACACCTGTGGACGAACACACAAGTATTAACCATCAGTTAGTTATATACACACACTAACAAAATCTCAATGTTAAGGTGTAGTGTAATAATAAGGCTAGTAAAACTTCTTTCCTGATCCAAGAAAAATATTCAGTATATTTGATATCTAAAAAAAATATCTTTTATGTTCGATTACTGACCAACCCTTGACCTACCAACCCACCCCTGATCCACTTTGACCTACCAGCCCACCCCCACTAATCTACTTTCTGACCCACCCCGGACACCCTTAGTCCACCTCCTTAGTCTACTCCTTAACCACCCACCCAGTCCACCTCTTGTTGACTCACTTGAAGGGCTTGACGCCGGAGTGGGTTAGCATGTGGATCTTGAGGTTACTCTTATTCTGGAACATCTTGCCGCAGCGATCACAAGTGGCGCCCGTACTGAGGTCCTGCGAATACCAAGAAACAGTGAGAGTTTGTCGTGGCGCGAGATACAAGGGGAAATGTCACGCTGGTGGGGGTTGGGTGGGTGAAGTAGGTGGAAGATGTTAATAAGATAGAATAAATGGGAATAATAATAAAATTTTGTAACAGATATTAATGGAAAATAAATATGATGATAATGTGAAGTGTGCTAGTCATTGTTTGGTGCTGGACGGAGCCACAAGAGTTTCGAGAATTGTCGTGTGTGTGTGTGTGTGTGTGTGTGTGTGTGTGTGTGTGTGTGTGTGTGTGTGTGTGTGTGTGTGTGTGTGTGTGTGTGTGTGTGTGTTTTAACATCATAACTCTCCCTTCTTGATTCATACAGCCAACATACACAATACATCAGGTGTACAATAAATGAAATAAATATACAAAAACACAGACAGTACTGATCGCCCAACTTACTCGAGTCGGTCCATGTTTATTGTGACACTGATAATATTGTCCTTTACTTTTTTTGCACATGTTTATTTTTGGATTTTTATGGAAATCTTTATATTGAAAGCACTCTGAGGTGGTGTGAAAGAATCCAATGCAAGATTTTAGACGAAACAAATCTAAACTTACAATCATGTGTTAAGTTTCCGAAAGCACCGAGTGTGTGTTTACATTTGGCGGCTGAGGGACTATGGCATTAAATTGTTTATGAAAAAGATAATATAACTTCACTTATAGGAGAAATAACCTAATTTTGATAGGTTAGGTTAGGTTAGTTTAAGATGAGTTGGGTTAGGTTAGGTTAGGTTAGGGTCACTATAATTCCTGAAATGAAATTTAAATCACCTTAAAATACGTCAAAGAATTTTTTTTTGCCCAAAGTTCCCGTTACTATTCATGTGTAAAAAATATAAATTTACACACATGACGCCAGGATTATTAAGAGCAAGCGAAGAGACACTACAAGACGCCAGAATGATTGAACGAAGGCCAAGTGAGATTACAGGACACCAGGATGATTAAAAGAGAAGTGGCATTACAAGACGCCAAGATGATTAAAAGAACGCCAAGTGGGATTACAGGATGCCAGGATGATTGAAAGAAGGCCAAGAGACATTACAGGACGCCAGGGTATACAAAAAGACATGGAAGAGACTAGGAAAGACAATAATCACGAAACAATAACAAAACCAACTATCCAGGATAGACATCAATGATGCCATGGGAGGCTAGAAGACCCGTGTAGCTAGAATTAGCATTCATACCAACACCAAATTGAAGTTCGTTGAGAGACGGTGGACCTTCACAAGTTAAGTTCTGACCATCTCGCGTCTTACTGTAGTTCAGCTGAGTTGCTGAAGTTTACTAACCTTGTGGTGAACCTCCTTTAGATGTCTCTGGAGCGCTGCCCGGGACCCTAGCACCTTGAAGCAGAGTTTACACTGGAACTCCCTCAGCACCTCTGCCATGTCTGTGTCGCAGGGGGGAAAGCAACTCATTACCAAATGTCCTGTGTTTATCCTCATTCAAACCTCCACTTGTTTCTTTGCCTACCAACATGTAAAATAAACATGAAGTGTTTGGCGTAAAAGAGATGAGAGCAAACTGTTCCCAGGCGCCGAGAGCTGTAACACTATGAAGGATGAGGAGTTAAAAGGGGACGGCATGGAACACATTACAGCAAAGGTTCGTACCATAAAACCAGCGCCGCCACGATAAGTCATCTGCGCCTGGCGTTATGGAGGCTACAACAGAGAATCGTGCGCACCACTTCTGCTGGCAGTAATGTAGCGCTCTTTTATGGTACCAACTATGACACAACGCGACAATACAGAGATGTGACTTGTCTTGTTTATAATTTAGTGAACAGCTGGATGTTGTGTTGGGGGTGAATACTGTATAGTGTTGGTGGTGGTGAAGGTTGTGGTGGTGGTGGTGAAGGTTGTGTTGGTGAAGGTTGTGTTGGTGGTGGTGAAGGTTGTGTTGGTGGTGGTGGTGAAGGTTGTTGGGTGGTGGTGAAAGGTTGTGCTGGTGGTGGTGGTGAAGGTTGTGTTGGTGGTGAAAGGGTTGTGTTGGTGGGGTGAAGGTTGTGTTGGTGGTGGTGAAGGTTGTGTTGGAGGTGGTGAAGGTTGTGCTGGTGGTGGTGAAGGTTGTGTTGGTGGTGGTGATGAAGGTTGTGTTGGTGGTGGTGATGAAGGGTGTGTTGGTGTGGTGGTGAAGGTTGTGTTGGTGGTGGTGGGGAAGGTTGTGTTGGTGGTGGTGATGAAGGTTGTGTTGGTGAGTGGTGAGAGGTTGTGTGTTGGTGGTGGTGAAGGTTGTGGTGGTGGTGGTGAAGGTTGTGTTGGTGGTGGTGAAGGTTGTGTTGGTGGTGTGGAGTGAAGGTTGTGTTGGTGGAGGTGGTGATGAAGGTTGTGTTGGGTGGTGGTGAAGGTTGTGTTGGTGGTGGTGAAGGTTGTGGTGGTGGTGGTGAGAGGTTGTGTTGGTGGTGGTGAAGGTTGTGTTGGTGGTGGTGGAGGTTGTGTGTTGGTGGTGGTGAAGGTTGTGTTGGTGGTGGTGGAGGTTGTGTTGGGTGGTGGTGAGGAGTTGTGTTGGTGGTGGTGGAGAGGTTGTGTTGGTGGTGGTGAGAAAGTTGTGTTGGGTGGTGGGTAGAGGTTGTGTTGGTGGTGGTGATGAGGTTGTGTTTGGTGGTGGGGTTGTGTTGGTGGTGGTGAAGGTTGTGTTGGTGGTGGTGGAGGTTGTGTTGGTGGTGGTGAGGTTGTGTGTTGGTGGTGGTGGGAAGGTTGTGTTGAGGTGGTGGTGAAGGGTTGTGTTGGTGGTGGTGAGAGGTTGTGTTGGTGGTGGTGTGAAGGTTGTGTTGGTGTGGTGGTGAAGGTTGTGTTGGTGGTGGTGAGAGAGGGTTGTGTTGGTGGTGGTGGTGGAAGGGTTGTGTTGGTGGTGGTGAGGTTGTGTTGGTGGTGGTGAAGGTTGTGTTGGTGGTGGTGAGGTTGTGTTGGTGGTGGTGGAAGGTTGTGTTGGTGGTGGTGAAAGGTTGTGTTGGTGGTGGTGGTGAAGGGTTGTGTTGGTGGTGGTGAGGTTGTGTTGGTGGTGGTGAAGGTTGTGTTGGTGGTGGTGGAAGGTTGTGTTGGTGGTGGTGAAGGTTGTGTTGGGGTGGTGGTGAGGTTGTGTTGGTGGTGGTGGAAGGTTGTGTTGGTGTGGTGTGAGGTTGTGTTGGTGGTGATGAAGGTTGTGTTGGTGGTGGTGAGAGGTTGTGTTGGTGGTGGTGAAGGTTGTGTTGGTGGTGGTGGAAGGTTGTGTTGGTGTGGTGTGAGGTTGTGTTGGTGGTGGTGAAGGTTGTGTTGGTGGTGGTGGTGAGAAGGTTGTGTTGGTGGTGGTGGTGAAGGTTGTGTTGGTGGTGGTGGTGAAGGTTGTGTTGGTGGTGGTGATGAAGGTTGTGTTGGTGGTGGTGAGAGGTTGTGTTGGTGGTGGTGAAGGGTTTGTGTTGGTGGTGGTGAAGGTTGTGTTGGGTGGTGAATTGAAGGTTGTGTTGGTGGTGGTGAAGGTTGTGTTGGTGGTGGAGGTTGTGTTGGTGGTGGTGAATTGTGTTGGTGGTGGTGAATGTGGTGGAAGTGAATGTCAGGTTGGTGGTGGTGAATAGGTTGGTGGTGGTGAATAAAGGTTGTGGTGGTGAAAGTGGTGGGTTTGGTGGTGGTGAATAGAGCTGGTGGTGGTGAATATTGTGTTGGTGGTGGTGAAGGTGTGTTGGTGGTGGTGAAGGTTGGGGTGGGTGAATTGGGCGGCGGAATTGTGGTGGTGGGTGAAGGTTGTGTTGGTGGTGGTGAATTGTGTTGGCAGGTGAACAGGGTGGGTGAAGTTGTGTTGGTGGTGGTGAAGGCTGGTGGTGGTGAAGTCTGTGCTGGTGGTGGTGAATGGGCTGTGTTGGTGGTGGTGAAGGTCAGGCTGGTGGTGCGAAGGCTGGTGGTGGTGAACAGGGTTGGTGGGTGGTGAATGTTGTGTTGGTGGTGGTGAAGGCTGTGTTGGTGGTGGTGGTTGTGTTGGTGGTGGTGAAGGCTGTGCTGGTGGTGGTGAATACGGTGGCTGGTGGTGGAATACGTGTTGGTGGTGGTGGGAAGGTCAGGTTGCGGTGGTGAATATTGTGCTGGTGCGGTGGTGAGGGGTGTTGGTGCGGTGGTGAAGGTCAGGCTGGTGGTGAAGACGTGCTGGTGGTGAGAAGGTCAGGCTGGTGGTGGTGAAGGTCAGGTTGGTGGTGGTGAAGGCTGTGCTGGTGGTGGTGAAGGTTGTGCTGGTGGTGGTGAAGTTGTGTTGGTGGTGGGTGAAGGCTGGTGTGTGGTAAGGGTTGTGCTGGCGGTGAAGGGGTTGTGTTGGTGGTGGAATAAAAGCTGGCGGTGGCAGAATATGGTGCTGGCGGGTGGTGAATACTGGTGCTGGTGGCGGTGAATATTGTGCTGGTGGTGAAGATGCGCTGGTGGTGGTGAAGGTCAGGCTGGTGGGGTGAAGATTGTGCTGGTGGTGGTGGTGAATACTGGTGTTGGCGGTGGTGGTGAAGGTTGTGTTGGTGGTGGTGGAAGGTTGTGTGGTGGTGAAGATGTGCTGGTGGTGGTGAATACCAGTTGGTGGTGGTGAAGGGGCCAGTTGGTGGTGGTGAATAACAGGCTGGTGGTGGTGAAGATTGTGTTGGTGGTGGTGAATATTGTGCTGGTGGTGGTGAATATTGTGCTTGGTGAGAATGTCAGCTGGTGGTGGTGGTGAATATGCTGGTGGTGGCGGGCTGGCTGTGGCTGGTGGTGGTGAAGGTCAGGGCTGGCGGAAGACGCTGGCGGTGGTGAATATTGCGTTGGTGGTGCGAATATTGCGCTGGCGGTGGTGGCGAATACGTGCTGGCGGTGGCGAATAGTTGGTGGTGGTGGAATAATAGTGGTGAAGCGTGTTGGTGGTGGTGAAGGTCATGCTGGTGGTGGTGAATAACAGTTGGTGGTGGGTATTGGGTCAGCTGGTGGTGGTGAAGGTTGTGCTGGTGGTGGTGGTGAAGGTTTGTGGTTGGTGGTGAAGATGTGTTGGCGGTGAAGGCTGTGCTGGTGGTGGTGAATAACAGGGTTGGTGTGAATATTGTGCTGGTGGTGGTGAATAATGTGCTGGTGGTGGTGAATATTGTGCTGTGAATATTGTGCTGGTGGCGGTGAATAACAGGCTGGTGGCGGTGAAGCTTGCGCTGGTGGTGGTGAAGGGTTGTGGTGGTGAATATTGCGGGTTGCAGGCTTGTGCTGGTGGTGAAGGTCAGGCTGTGAATATTGTGCTGGTGGTGGCGAATATTGTGCTGGCGGTGAATAACAGGGCTGGCGGCGAATCTGGCTGGTGGCGAATACTGGCTGGTGGCAGGTGAATACCGTGCTGGCGGTAATATTGTTGGCGGTGGTGAAGGTTGTGCTGGTGGTGGTGAAGGTCAGTTGGTGGTGCGGGCTGCTGTGCTGGTGGTGGTGGTAGTACTGGTGGTGGTGAAAGCCAGGTTGGTGGCGGCTGTGTTGGTGGCGAAGATGCGTTGGTGGCGGTGAAGGCTGGTGTTGCGGCGGGTGAAGGGGCTGTGGGTTGGTGGTGGTGGAGGCTGTGTGCTGGTGGTGGTGCGAAGGCCAGCTGGTGGTGGTGGTGAAGGCTGTGCTGGTGAAGATGTGTGCTGCGGTGGTGAAGGCTGGTGGTGGCAGGTGAAGGCCGGTGCTGGTGGCGGTGGTGAAGGGGCTGCGGTTGGCGGTGGTGAAGGCTGTGCTGGTGGTGGTGAAGGCTGTGCTGGTGGTGGTGAAGTGCTGGTGGTGGTGAATATTGTGGGTTGGTGGTGGTGAATAACAGGTTGGTGGTGGTGAAGGCTGTGCTGGTGGTGGTGAAGGTCAGGTTGAAGGCCAGTTGGTGGTGGTGAAGGCTCGGCTGGTGGTGAAGGTCAGGTTGGTGGTGGTGAAGGTCAGGTTGGTGAATATTGTGCTGGTGGTGGTGGAATATTGGTGGCTGGTGGTGGTGAATACAGGTTGGTGGTGGCGGCAATGTTATGGTGGTGGTGAATATTGTGCTGGTGGTGGTGACAGCTGGTGGTGGTGGTGAAGACTGTGTTGGTGGTGAAGATGTGCTGGTGGTGGTGGAAAACAGGCGTGAATATTGTGTTGGTGGTGTGGTGAATAACAGGGGTTGTGGTGGTGAATACGGTGCTGGTGGTGGTGAATACAGTTGGTGGTGGTGGCGAATACAGGCTGGTGAAGACGTGCTGGTGGTGGTGAATAACAGTTGGTGGTGGTGAAGGTCAGGCTGGTGGTGGGGTGTAGGCTGGGCGGTGGTGAAGGTCAGGCTGGCGAATATTGTGCTGGTGGTGGTGTTGGGTGGCGAACAGCTGGCGGGTGCGAAGGCCAGTTTGGTGGTGGTGAAGTCTGGCTGGTGGTGGTGGTGAAGCCAGTTGGTGGTGGCAGGTAGCTGTGCTGGTGGTGGTGAAGGTTGTGC